ATTTCCGTCCATTTCGAAACTGGTGCCAACTTTATAGAGGATGCTTTAAGTTCTGGAGGTAAGTTTCTCTCTCTCTCTCTCTCTCTCTCTCTCTCTCTCTCTCTCTCTCTCTCTCTCTCTCTCTCTCTCTCTCTCTCTCTCTCTCTCTCTCTCTCTTTCTTTCTCTTTCATTTTTTAAAATCTTTTTATGCCACTGTTGTGCTTTGTGAGTCTCAATCAGCAGAGTACAGTCGCCAGTAATGAAAATAAATAAACCGTTCATTAGTAGAAATAACATAAATCGTTCAGTGCTGAAAAAAAACGTTCATTAATTAAAATAAAATGAACCTTTCAGTAGTGAAACTAAGTCAACCGTTCAGTGATGAAAATAAAAAAGTTCATTAATGAAAATAAAATAAACCTTTCAGTAATGAGAACAGATAAGCCGTTCAGTAATGAAAATTAAAAAAAATGGTTCATTAATGAAAAAATAAACCTCTCAGTAATGAAAATTAAATGAAAAAGTATTGAGTTGTGTGGAAATGCATCGCGAGAAATCACCAAAGATTCAAATCTAGTAGACATTGTCAGTAACTTGCTACCGCTGATTAACAATTAGCTATGTGTTATTAAATTAAGAAATTGATTTTGATAGGATATTAATCAGCGAAATGCCATGATGTAAGATTTAGGTATATGATGTGCAACTCTGATTCCATTAATGATGGTTGGTGTTTTTCGTTAATGGCCGTGTTTTTATTATTATTATTATTATTTTATTTTTATTTTTGTTATTAATCACCGTTGGTGTTTTTGATCAATGATCGTTGTTGTTTTTCGTTAATGGTCGTTGGTATTTTTGATTAATGGTTGTCTGTGTTTTTCATTAATGGTCGTTGGTGTTTTTGATTAATGGCCGTTGGTGTTTTTCGTTAATAGTCGTTGTTTTTCGTTAATGGTCGTTGGTGTTTTTTGTTAATGGCCGTTGGTGTTTTTCATTAATGGCCATTGGTGTTTTTCGCTAATGGTCGTTGGTGTTTTTCGCTAATGGTCGTTGGTGTTTTTCGCTAATGGTCGTTGGTGTTTTTCGCTAATGGTCGTTGGTGTTTTTCGTTAATGGTCGTTGGTGTTTTTGATTAATAGTCGTTGGTGTTTTTGATTAATGGTCGTTTGTGTTTTTCGTTAATGGTCGTTGGTGTTTTTGATTAATGGCCGTTGGTGTTTTTCGCTAATGGTCGTTGGTGTTTTTCGTTAATGGTCGTTGGTGTTTTTGATTAATGGTCGTTGGTGTTTTTCGTTAATGGTCGTTGGTGTTTTTCGTTAATGGTCGTTGGTGTTTTTGATTAATGGTCGTTGGTGTTTTTGATTAATGGTTGTTGGTGTTTTTCGTTAATGGTCGTTGGTGTTTTTCATTAATGGCCGTTGGTGTTTTTCGTTAATAGTCGTTGTTTTTGTCAATGGCCGTTGGTGTTTTTCGTTAATGGTCGTTGGTGTTTTTCATTAATAGTCGTTGGTGTTTTTCATTAATGATCGTTGGTGTGTTTGATTAATGGCCGTGGGTGTTTTTCGTTAATGGTCGTTGGTGTTTTTCATTAATGGTCGTTGGTGTTTTTCATTAATGATCGTTGGTGTGTTTGACTAATGGCCGTGGGTGTTTTTCGTTATTGGTCTTTTTCTTTATTAATGGTCGTTGGTGTTTTTCGTTAATGGTCATTGGTGTTTTTGATTAATGGCCGTTGGTGTTTTTCGCTAATGGTTGTTGGTGTTTTTCGTTAATGGCCGTTGGTGTTTTTCGTTAATAGTCGTTGTTTTTGTCAATGGCCGTTGGTGTTTTTCGTTAATGGTCGTTGGTGTTTTTCATTAATAGTCGTTGGAGTTTTTCATTAATGGTCGTTGGTGTTTTTCATTAATGATCGTTGGTGTGTTTGATTAATGGCCGTGGGTGTTTTTCGTTATTGGACTTTTTCTTTATTAATGGTCGTTGGTGTTTTTCATTAATGGTCGTTGGTGTTTTTCATTAATGGTCGTTGGTGTTTTTCATTAATGGTTGTCTGTGTTTTTCGTGTATGGTCTTTGGTGTTTTTCGTTAATGGTCGTTGGTGTTTTTGATTAATGGTCGTCTCTGTTTTTCGTGTATGGTCTTTGGTGTTTTTCGGTAATAGCCGTTGGTGTTTTTGAGTAATGGCCGTTGTTTTTGATTAATGGCCGTTGGTGTTTTTGATTAATGGTTGTTGGTGTTTTTTATTAATGGTCGTTGGTGTTTTTGACTAATGGCCGATGGTGTTTTTGACTAATGGCCGTTGGTGTTTTTGATTGATGGTCGTTGGTGTTTTTCGTTAATGGCCGTTGGTGTTTTTGACTAATGGCCGTTGGTTTTTGATTAATGGCCGTTGGTGTTTTTGGTTAATGGCCGTTGGTGTTTTTGATTAATGGCCGTTGGTGTTTTTGGTTAATGGCCGTTGGTGTTTTTCATTCCTGTCTTTCTCTAACCGAATCCAGGCAAGGTTTTAGTGCACTGTCGCCAGGGAAGGTCGCGCTCGGCCTCCATCGTGGCGGCGTTTCTGATGATCAAGCGCGACATGGCGGCGGCGGCGGCGCTGACGCTGCTCAGAGAGTGTAAGACCTTTGGTTATTGTGTAATGTTAGTCTACAAGAAAAAAAAGAATATATATGTATTTGAGTGTGTTTGTATCTGTGTGTGTGTTCGTGCGTATCTATACTATGTATGTATGTATGTATACGTATATATATATTTATATATATAATATATACATATACATAGATATATAATAATATGAATATATATACATATATATAAGCATGCATGTATATATGTGTATGTTTTATATATATGCATATATATATATATATTATATATATATATATATATATATATATAAATATATATATATATATATAATGTGTGTGTGTATGTATGGGTGTGTGTATGTAGGCCTATATATATATGTGTGTGTGTGTGTGTGTGTGTGTGTGTGTGTGTGTGTGTGTGTGTGTGTGTTTAACCCCTACCCCCCACACACATCTGTATACATACATATACGTATGTATACACACATATACGTATGTATACACACACACAATAGGGAGATATATGTTTGTGAGTATGTGTGCGCGTGCGTGTGTGTGTTTATATATTTATTCATTTATTTTATATAGATCATGCGTTGCTTCAATAGTCACTTTATAAATGCAATGCGTTAGTACAGTTACTGCCCATGTTTATTTCAAATGAACGCATTTGAACATATGTTTGAAATCATCTTGCATGCTGTGTAAACCTAACCCACACCCCCATTGAATTTTTCTCCAGGTCGGGAGATCAGACCAAACAACGGCTTCCTTCAGCAGCTGGCGGACCTTGACCTCAGCCTCTTCCGAATGAGGTTGGAGAAGCTGCGCGAGATGGATTCGTCTTCTTCGGAGTCGGAAGACGAAGACGAAGACGAGGACGTGAGCTTGGAAACGGAGACGGGCTCGGAGGTGGAGATCGAGAGCAGTAGCGATGACGACAATTAGAAGGGGGAATAAAGCAGGAATGGAAGAGGAGGGATAGGAACAGTTGCTTCAGGAAGTGTCCATACCCCCAGCGATTATTTCATGGCAAAAAGTGGCAGCGTGTAATTAGTAACGTAATTATCAGTAAACATTCATTCTTACCAACGGGCGTTCGTGGTAGGTTTGTATACCAGACGTCGTAATGGGAGGCAATATCCTGTATATGAATAGTGAAACGATTAAAACCTCGATAAACAGGGGATAGAAGAACTTCCTGAAGCAGTTGCACACCTATATACACACATGCGTTCATCGTATACACAACAATCACACACACATACAAAAAAAAGATAAAACATAATCAGTAACGAAGGGAAAGGATCATATTGTATTTAGTGTATATTTTAGGGATCGTGTTCATGATTAGTTACGGGTAAAAATGTAATTGGTAATTTATCCAGAGATTTTTTTTTTATCATTCATAGATTTTCATGCATTCGTTTTTTGTATCTGTATTTAGATACAAATGAGTGCTTTTCAGAGTGAAAGCGCATATAAATCAGCATTTAATACTCTACTAATATTACTGTGTCACTAACTACCCCCTTTTCTGTATTTCGTTGCTTTAATTTATATAATGAATACAAAAAAGACATCTCGTTTTAGAGAAGTAATGAAAGATACAGCTTTGTGCTGCTGTGATATGGGAAAAAAGACATTATCTGTATTACTAGCAGAACAGGAGACATACTGGAAATGAATAGGTATAGTTTAGTGAAATCACCCGTTGGAGAATTATGTAAGGGAACTCATTTGTATTTTTAGAATTGAAAGAACTCTTTGGGGGGAAAAAATATATGATAGATAGAGATATGGTAAGGAGGAAGGTAGTTTATTAAGGTCAGTGATAGATGTCTTGTAATTCAAAGTATATTGAGAATTTACCGATATATTAAGATATGGTTTCAGAAGCTAGGTTTGGATGGAAACAGCGTGGATATAGTCATGTCAGTATAATCCTTTTGTCTGAGGAAAACAAGAGCTGAATCGTAAAAGTTCCCTGATTTGATTCACTGCCGACATAACCGTCACTCACCACAGAACAGTTATCCTGCGCAGGGATTACTCTATATCCAGCATACTTTCTGTCGGGAAAGTTCTCACAAGGATTTCCAAGATGTCCCCTCATCAATGCGCCATAATACTCAACCGTTTCACCCTCACCCTTTTAAACGCTTCACAGAGTTGTACTTGTTTCCTTCCTATTGATTAGTGGGACAGTACAGGGATATTATGTACAGCTCAGCAGCCCCTTTTGGATTACCCGTGACACGGATTAATGGATCTAACAGTTCAGTGAAAACGAAAATCTCTATCTCACTTTTACCTCACCTGTTGATCGGTAAGCTCGAACCGAACAAGAGTTTTACGTTCAGTTATTAAAAGAGAGAATCGAATAAATTCAAACGTCGTTTTATCAGTACTACAATAAAAATGATATACGCTACGGCGCATAGATCAGATTAAAGGAAATAAAAGCTCATGCTTGACACATATTATATCCGATTTGAGTATTGGATTTAATCGAAGGTAAATGGATTCTTTTCATCCGCAGTCCCTTTGCTTGAATTAAAATTTACATATTTTGAAATGATAGATTGATTCATCCTTCTCATATGAAAACGTTGCAAGGTAAAGGGATGTAATGCATGAAAGACAAGTATAAAAAAAAAAAAAAATCCCGGATTTCATGACTTCAGGTCTGACGTCTAAATAAAACTGGATTATGTAAATCTGTGTTCTTAGATCGACATCCCTTTTTAATTCATACATTAATGGCATTTTCAAAGCGAACCTCGATTTCTGATTCCTTAATTCATTTCTGTATTTGTATTTCTAATTAGACCGTTGCCGTAACTTGTCAGTACCAGTATGCTACTTACATGAATGAGACCCTGCAATGTAAACTGAACGTATCCATTAAAATTCTAGCAGAGATTGTACCCTGAAACCACTGCTATTGCATTACAAGATGTTTATAGCTCGTTAATTTCCATCAGTGAAGCATATATAAAGACCCACAGTGACTCCCCTTCCTCGGAAAGAGAAATATATATCTATCAAGTCTGTTCCATGACGTAAACACACTAGAACTAATGTTGGAAAGATATATTCAATTGCATTTCATGGAAGAGAAATTAATGATATATTAATGTAATACTGTAGTAGGTAAAACATTTAGGCGGCCGTTGGTGTTAGTAAGGCAATTAGGTTTTATGATAATTATATTTTGCTCAAGAGTCCTTGGGAAGTTTATGGTTGTGGAACAATTTAATCCTTACTGGAGAATCAAATAGACGAAATAATTAGATTTCTTAATTGCATTCTGAGTGTTTCATGGCATTTTGTGATGCAGAAGCAGCAAACTCTTACATGAAAATATTAATAGACGTAGTGTGATTTCATAGACGGACATGTAGTGCGAAAAAGGAATCTGTGAAGTGAATTTGTTCTGTATTTTTGAGTGTATCATTTAGTTTTCTCCTTTTTTTAGGTTAGGTTTTAGTGAAAAGAATGAGATCATCAAATGATCAGTTTATGAACTCATGACTCACTGCATTGATAAAAAAAACAAAAAAAGAAACATATCAATATCTGTGCATGTGTACGTAACACACACACACACACACACACACACACACACACACACACACACACACACACACACACACACACACACACACACACACACACACACACACACAGACACACACACACACACACACACACACACACACACACACACACACACACACACACACACACACACACACACACGCACACACACACACACATACATATACATATACATATATATGATACATCCTTTGCTTGTCCCTGGTTTTCACAACAAGAATTGACCTACCAAACATTTTGCATCACTGTCATTGCATAGTCTAAACAGATTGAAGCGTTTTATCGCAAGCCGAGTAAACACAAGGCCTAGAGTGAAAAAGGATTGTGCAGCATTTTTCTTCCTGTTTCATTAAATGGGTAGTTTATTGCAAGTTAGAGAGAGAAGGAAATGAAAAGCGTTTTTCAGAAACAGTTGGCGATTGTCGTAGGAGCGGTAGGAATTGCTTTTTTTTTCATATCGAGACGAAGATGCCTTTAGTAGTTTGTTGAGGATAACTATTGTTGATTGGCAGTTTGGTGATGATTATGTGAAATGCAGAGATGGTTGTATTGTATTTAGCTTTTCCTGCAACTAACTTCCCAAGTGCATCTTCGCTTTGAAAATAAAAGAAGAAAAAAATTAATTGAGACGTAATAGATGTAAGTATTCATATTATCACTGCTTATTTTTAATTTATTTTAATTTATTATTTTTTTCTTCATTTTGCAATATTTTTTTTATTATCATTACACTTATTTTTGTTTGTTTGTTTGTTTGCTGACTCCATCCTTCATCAACCTAGACTTTACAGTTTCTCATGTTTAGTTGCAAAGACAATCGTTTTGATCGACGGTCTTTTCCCCTTATGATGATACAATGTAGTTTTTTTTGTGGAGATATTTAAGGTATACTTTTAAGACAGATGATTGTAAACCTAGACACGTGCTTAACCATGTGTTCTAGTATTTATGTTTTATACTTTAATTGTTCTCTTGTTCTCTTATCAACATGATTATTGTGTATAATGTTATGCATATTATAAATAAACTGATACTAACTCGCGTACATGGGATTCGTGTCGTACTAATTCAATGGAAAGCTGAACAAATCTGGCATTTCTTAGTGCTTATGAGAGAACAAAGTGGAACTCACAGAAAATATATTTACGTATTACCCGTGATGAGCACAGCATTTCTTTGCAAATTCGTTACTCTTTCTTCACTGTGAATTAAATAAACTTTTCTACTGTCTTTGTTTCTTTTCTTCTGCTGTGCACAATTTCTTGCTGTTGTTTTCATGTAAAAGTGTAATAAACTTGAACAGTTCCA